GTTGAGCTATAGGCGCCGAGCCCACTATCTAGGTTTTGTTTTCTCTGTTTTCTCATAGTCATCATCCAGGTCTTTCGTCACTTTGCCAGACCTGTCTTCACCACTTCTGTGCACGCAAGTGAAGAGCACAGCAGCACTTTCACTTGTTCTTCTGATGGTTCTCTCACCCCTCCTCGTTGGTTGGTTGGCCACTCAGTTCCCTTGGGCCAAGTTCTGAAAAATAATGGATCTTGCTTATGTGCAAATGGATCTTGCTTCCTTGTTGGCGTCCCCTTGAGAAATAGATAATTATTAACCAAAGATCAGATAACACTGTGAGTTCAGCTTAGAACTCTGTGTGTTCTTTCCGAAATGGGAATTTAGTGTTCCTGAGAGAAAAGGTGGTGGTACTGCTCACTTTTTTAAAAATCAGGTTTATTGTGACATCATCTATATGTAGTAAAATTCACCTTTTTGGTTGATTGATTCTATGACTTGTGAAAAGTACTAACTACCATCACAGTTGAGATGTAGAGTATTTTAATTACCCTACAGAGTTGCCGTGTGCCCCTGTATACTTAACTCCCTTCCCTCTCCTCAAGACCTTTGTAACTGCTGATCACAGAGGTGATATTTGTTCCTATAGTTTATTCCTTTCTAGAATGTTTGGCTTCTTTCACTCAGCGTAATGCTGATTCACCCATGAGCCAGGTGTGGTGGCTCACACCTATAATCTCAGCACTTGGGGAGGTTGAGTGAGAGGATTGCTTGCAGCCAGGAGTTCAAAACTGGCCTGGCCAAATGAGTGAGACCTTTCTATATCAAATATTAAAATTGGCCAGGGTATACTTGTAGTCTCAGCTCCTTGGAAAGGTGATGTGGGACTATCATTTTAGCCCAGAAACTCAAAGCTACAGTGGGCTATGATCATACCATTGCACTCCATCTTGGATAACAGCATGTTCCTATCTTAAAAGATAAAAATTTTAAAAAAGATTCATCCAGGATCGGCACCTGTAGCTCAGCAGCTAGGGCTCTGGCCACATACACTGGGGCTGGCAGGTTTGAACCCAGCCTGGGCCTGATAAACAGCAGTCACAACAACAAATTAGCCAAGTGTTGTGGCGGGCACCTGTAGTCCCAGCTACTTGGGAGGCTGAGGCAAGAGAATTGCTTAAGCCCAAGAGTTGGAGGTTGCTGTGAGCTGTGATGTCACGGCACTCTAATGAGGGCAGCATAATGAGACTGTCCAAAAAAAAAAAAAAAAAAAGATTCATTCACAGTAGCACAATGTACACGTATCACTGGTTCTTTATTCCTTTTTATTGCTGAGTTTCGTTGGTTGGTATGATTGTACCACAGTTTATCCATTCTCCATTTGGTAGACATTTGGGTATTTTCCAGGTTTTAGCAATTATGGATAAAGTATAGGCTTTTCTTTTGTTTATAACTGTTGATTATCTAATCTCCAGCAATTGAAATTAATTTGAGAGAAAACTCTGAATTTTTTTTTTTTTTTTGAGACAGAGTCTCACTTTGTTGCCCTTGGTAGAGTGTGTCACGTCTCATACCAACCTCCAGCTCTTGGGCTTAGGCAATTCTCTTGCCTCAGCCTCCTGAGTAGCTGGGACTACACGCACCCACCCCAACACCCAGCTATTTTTTGTTGCAGTTTGGTTGGGGCCGGGTTTGAACCTGCTATGCTTGGTATTTGGGGCCAGCACCCTCCTCACTCAGCCACAGGTGCTGCCCTGAAATTTTTTTTATGTTTATACCTCTGTAATGAATATCTTATTCTGAAATTTACCTGCTGTCCACCTCAAGCTACCAGCTTTTATACAGATAGAGTCTGTTTCCTGGACAAATTGGAACTCTTTGCTTTACATAAAAGCCATAAATAGTGTTACCCCTTTCTGTTGTTCTGACAGGTTTGGTGTGGAAGGACTAGAGACTGCAGTGGGGTCCAGTTCTGAGAGCTCAGATGATGACAGAGAAGAAACACCTAGTACCTCAGAAAGGAGCATCCATGGTCTAAAAAACGTCAGTGATAGCGCTGAGATGGCAGCCAAATTTCCCAGTAGTTCTCAGAGGGTAGAAGTAGTGAATTCAGCCTTTGGATCACCAGAAAAACTGCAAATTCCAGAGATTGCCTCTACAAAAGATAGTTTAGAAGACTCATTTGCTGAATTGGGAGAGACATCTACCAAGGAGCACGTGGACAGCAAGATGGTTTTAGAAACGGAAGAGATCCGAGAGAGAAAGAAGGCAGAGGGTAAAGAACCTATAGAAGAGGGAGCAGTTGGGGCTGGACTGAAAAAGGATAAAGAGACAAAAGAAAGGACTGATGGGGAAACAGCTGGCAAGGTAGCACCTGGAGAAGATAGAGAGAAAGCTCCTGTTGCCAAACTGGAGGAAAACCAGCCTGGAAACACAGTAAGTACTTTTGGGGGGTCAGTGTTTAGAGTCAAGTCAATTTATTATTATTATTATTTGCAGTTTTTGGCCAGGGCCATGTTTGAGCCCGCCACCTCCAGTGTATGGGGCCGGCGCCCTACTCCTTCGAGCCACAGGCACCACCCACTCAAGTAAATTTAATCTCTACAATAAGTCATTAAAATGACAGGCCAGGCATGGTGGCTCATACCTATAATCCTAGCAGCTGAGGTGAGGTGGGTGATTGCCTGAGCAAGAGCGAGACCCCGTCTCTAAAATAGCTGGGCGTTATGGCAAGGCGCCTGTAGTTGGACTGAGGCGAGAGAGTCATTTGAGCCCAGGAGTTTGAGGTTTTGTGAGCTGTGATGCCAGGGCACTCTACTGAGGACAAAGAGACTCTGTCTGAAAAAAAAAAAGAAAGAAAGAAAATGTGCCTTTTCCTATCAGCTGCATATCAAAAGGCTTGTTTAATACTAATAAATACAGATGATGAGGAAGCTTGTCTTGTCCCCCCCAAGAGATTTTTTTGGCTGGGCATGGTGGCTAATGCCTGTAATCCTAGCACTCTGGGAGGCTGTGGTGGGAGGATCCCTTGAGTTCAGGAGTTCTAGAACAGCCTGAGCAAAAAGGAGATCCCATCTCTATTAAAAATAAAAAAAATTAGCTGGCAATTGTGGCAGGTGCCTATAGTCACAGCTACTTGAGAGGTGGAGGCAGGAGGATCACTTGAACCCAGGAGTTTGAGGTTGCTGTGAGCTAGGCTGATACCATGGCACTCTAGCCTGGACAACAGAGGGAGACGCTGTCTCAAGCAAAAAATACATTTTTTTAAAGCTCTTTTTTTTTTTTTTTTACCTCAGAAATGTGTTCATTTCATTCATGTTTTCAAATTTCTGGGTATAGACATTTTTGTAGTATTCAGTGAACATCTTTTGTCTCTCTGTGGTATCAGTTATTTCCACTTTTTCATTTCTGATTAACCTTCTTAGAGATTTTACTTCTCTGCTTCTAATTAATCTGGCCAAGAGTGTATCAATTTTATGTTTTCAAAGAGCCAACTTTTTGTTTCATTACTCTTCTAAATGAATGGTTTCAATTTTGTTTAGTTCTGTTGTGATTTTAGTTATTTCTTTTCTCCTGCCTGATCTGGGATTGGATTGCTCTTTCTTTTCCAGCTCCTTGAGATGAATGAGCTGTTAGATGGCTGACTTGCCCTCTTTCTGATTTCTGGTTGTGGGCATTTAATGGGATGTTTCCCTCTGAAGACTGCCTGCCTTTGCAGGGTGGCGCCTGTAGCTCAGTGGGTAGGGTGCCAGCCACATACACTGAGGCTGGCGGGATCGAATCTGGCCCTGGCCAGCTGAAACAGCAATGGCAACTGCAACAACAACAAAAATAGCTGGGCATTGGGGTGGGCGCCTATAGTCCCAGCTACTTGGGAGGCTGAGGCAAGACAATCTCTTGAACCCAAGAGTTTGAGGTTGCTATGAGCTGTGATGTCACAGCACTCCACTGAGGGTGACATACTAAGACTCTGTCTCAAAAAAAAAAAAAAAAAAGACTGCCTTGGAGTATCCCAGAAGTTTGATAACTTATGGCTTCCTTATCATGCTGTTTAGGGAATCTAATGATTTCCTTCTTTACCTCCTCTTTGTTTAGCAATACTGTTTAGATTCCACAACTGTGAGAATGAGTGCTTCTGTTGGCCTTGAGTTCTATTTTTATTGTATTGTAGTCCATAAATATACAAGGTATGATTTAGTTTTTTTCCATTTTTTTCATGAGTCAAGATCTCACTTTCGCTCAGGTGAGTCTTGAACTCCTGAGCTCCAGCGATTCTCCCTCCTCAGCCTCTCACAGTGCTGGGATTACAGGTGTGAGCCACCATGCCCAGTGATTTCTATTTTTTTAAATTTGTTGAAGCTTTCTTTGTGTCCTAGGATATGATGATCTTGGACAGTGATCCATGAGCTGATGAGAAGACCGTATATTCAGTAGTATTGGATAAAATGTTCTGTAGTTGTCTGTTAAGCCTAATTGTTCTAGAGTCATGTTTAAGTCTATCATTTCTTTATTTAGTTTCTGCTTGGAGGATCTGTCCAGTTTTGTCCATGAGATGTTGAAGGCCCTGGCTATTAGGGTGCTGTCGGTTATCATATTAGGTTTGTTTTATAAATTTGGCAGCCATTTATGTTAGGTGCATATATGTTTAGAGTTGGTATATCCTTTTACTGTATTGTTCCCTTCACTAATATATGTACAGTGCTGTCTTTATCCTTTTTGTTGTTGTTTTAAAGCCAGTTGTATCCACAAACAAGAAGAGGATTGTGACACCCACTTTTTTTGGTACCCATTTGCATGAAATACTGTTTTCACCCCTTCAACCTTAGTCTTCACCTTAATCCTTACTCTCAGCCCTTGGGGGCTGCTAGATGTGTTTCCTGAAGACAGCAAATACTTGATTAGTACTTTTTTTATCCAGTCAGTCAGCCTGTGCCTCTTCAGTGGGGAATTCAAGCTGGTTTAAATTTTCACTATGTCATCCTCTGTAGAGGACTCACAGCAACCTCAAACTCTTGGGCTTAAGCAATTCTCTTGCCTCAGCCTCCCAAGTAGCTGGGACTATAGGCACCTGCCACAACGCCCAGCTATTTTTTGTTGTAGTTGTCATTATTGTTTTCAGCAGGCCTGGACAGGTTCAAACGTTTGACTGCCAGCTCTGGTGTATGTGGCCAGCCCCATAACCACTGAGCTATGGGTGCTGAGCCTAAGCTGTTTACTTTTTTTTTTTTTTGAGACAGAGCCTCAAGCTGACCCCTGAGTTGAGTGCTATGGCATCACAGCTCACAGCAACCTCCAACTCCTGGGCTCAAGTGAGTCTCCTGCCACAATGCCCAGCTATTTTTTGGTTGCAGCCGTCATTGTTGTTTGGCGGGCCCGGGCTGGATTCAAACCCGCCACCTTAGGTGTATGTGGCTGGTGCCTTAGCTACTTGAGCCACAGGCGCCGAGCCTTTTTTTTTTTTTTTGGAGACAGTGTATTACTATGTCATCCTTGGTCACGTGCTATGGCGTCACAGGTCACAGCAACCTTAAACTCCTGGGCTTAAGTGATTCTCTTGCCTCTGCTTCCCAAATAGCTGGGACTATAGGCGCCGGCCACAACGCCTGGCTATTATTATTACTATTATTATTGGTTGTAGTTGTCATTGTTTGGCAGGCCCGGGCTGGGTTTGAACCTGCCAGCTGTGGTGTATGTGGCTGGTGTCCTGCCCACTGAGCTATAGGCACTGAGCCTCTTTATATTTATTGGGGGAATTGATTCTGTTTGTCTTGGTATGTGGAAGACTGTTGTCTTGTTTTATCACTTGGTCCATTGTAGAACTGAGGCTTTGTCCTTTATTTTCTGAGTGTCTTTACTTTGCTGGCAGTCCACTGTTTTGGTCTGTGTGTAGTACAGGTCTATGTATTGAGTGCTTCCTCCAGGGCTGGTATTATAGTGGCACGTTTCCTCAGGGTTTGCTTGTCAGTTAAAGATACAGTTTCTCTATCGAAGATGAAACTTAGTTTTGTAGGGTACCAGATCCTAGGTTTGCAGTTGTTTTGTTTGAGATGATAGAAAATGGGAGTTCACTCTCCTGTTGCTTGTACAACTTCCTCTGGAATTCTGATTTGCCTCATGGGTGAGCTGCTGCCTGAAGAATCTTTTGATTTTAACTTTGGCCAGGTTAATTACAATGTGTCTAGAAGATCCTCTGTTTGAATTGAGTCAGTCCCAGTATTGATATACATCATGTAGGTGAATGTCTGAATCTATAGTGCTATTAGAGACATTTTCAGCTTAAATATACCAACAAGATTTCCATGCTATTGGGACTCTCTTCTTCCTCTTCATGGATACCTATAATTTGTATATTGGGATGCTTAGAGTCATCCCATAATTCTCTAAGAGAATTATGCTTATACTTTGACTCTGCTTTTCTGCCTCTGTTAATGACTGAGTTAGCTCAAGAGCCTTGTCTTCTGACTCTGAGACTCTTTCTTTCTTTACTATTATTGAAACTTTCTATTGTGTTTTTATTTTGTTTTCAGACAGTGTCTCACTTTGTCATCCCTTGGTAGAGTGCCAAGGTGAATCTAGCTCACAACAACCTTAAACTCTTGGGCTCTTGTCTCAACCTCCCAGAGTGCTAGGACTGCAGGCATGAGCAACCACGCCCAGCTGTTTTATTTGTTTGTCTATTTTGTTTTGTTTTGTTTCGTTTTTAAGACAGAGTCTCATTACGTCACCCTCAGTAGAGTGCTGTGGTGTCAAACCTCACAGCAACCTCAAACTCTTGGGCTTAAGCAATTCTCTTGCCTCAGCCTCCCAAGTAGCTGGGACTACAGGCACCTGCCACAACACCCAGCTATTTTTTGTTATTATTGTCATTGTTGTTTAGCAGGCCCTGGCTGGGTTCGAACCCACCAGCCCTGGTGTATGTGGCTGGCGCCCTAACCACTGAGCTATGAGCACGAGCCTGTTTGTCTATTTTTGTGAGACAGAATCTCACAGTGTTGCCCAGGTAGAGTGTGATAGTGTCGTCCTAGCTCATAGCAGCCTCAAACTTAGGAGTTCAAGCAATCCTCCTGCCTCAGCCTCCTGAGTAGCTACAACTACAGGTGCCCGTCACAATGCCCAGCTAATTTTTCTGTTTTTGACAGAGACACAGTCTGACTCTTGCTCAGGCTGGTCTTGAACTTTTGAACTCGAGGGAGGAGCTTTAGCCTCCCAGATTGCTAGAATTATAGGCATAAGCTGTTGTCCAGTATGCCTAACATTCTATTATGTGTTGAAACTCTCTGAATGACGCCTTCAATTATTTTAGCTGCCTTATTTCTAATTGTGTCTAGATCAGTGGTTCTCAACCTTCCTAATGCTGCAACCCTTTAATACAATTCCTCATGTTGTAGTGACCCCCCAGCCATAAAGTTATTTTCATTGCTTCTTCATAACTGCAA